GGCGTCACTCTACCTAGGAGAAATAATTGCTCTATGAGCAAGAAGAAAAGTTTGCTCTTTGTTTTGGAGCACATAATCAGCTTTTTTTTTTTTTTTTTAGCCCAGTCTATTTCGACTGGAACTAGTCCGTCATTACTTGCTGGTTGTCACATTTGCCACTCGGTTAAAGCTGTTCTTTCCAAAATGAAAACAAATCGTTCCTGAAGAAATAGAGAAATGTTTTTGTTGTGGGTGGTCATGTATGTTCTGCTAACTCAGTATTGTATTATGTTATAAAATTCCCTTGGGAGGGCAAGTTTGGACCATTATTTTCTCTCTTCAGTGTCCATAATGTTTTAAATTAATTTGCAGCTTGGAAATCAAAAAACAGGTTTGGAAACTATACAGTTTATATCACTTAAGGTGTAAGACTTGATCTAACTTTACTGAAAAAGGCAAGCTGAGACAAGAGTTGGGAAATCTACTATTCTAATAGCATTCTTTTAGAGCAATAAAAAAATACCTGACATCCGTACCTATTTAATACTTGTTTATGTTCATAAATATAGGAAAGCTTGAGTACATTTGAGGTGGTGACTATTTTAGCCTTAAATTGTCTTAATAAATGGAACATACTGTAACATGTATGGTACTAATTTATAACTACTGTTTTCAATTTCTGTGAGCTTCTTGATACTGTTGTTTTTCTTTATACACATTTCTGCTATACTGTGTGTATTTAGAGCATATATATTTTTTTCAGTGCTAGTAAAAATGTGATGCTGTTCTTACAGAAGGGGGATCAATCAAAGCAAGCTATGGGATTGGAGCTATTTTATCAGTGTTCTTTGAGTTCATGATGCTGTGTTTTAATGCAATGATTATTTTTAATCCCTTAAAGAGAGTAAGTGGATGAATATTTATACATAATGTGTTTTACAAGGTGAAATTTCAACACTAGTTGTTTTTTTAAAAAAAAAATACACTGCCCAAGTTAGCTTCTCCACAAAGAGAGCTGCCCTTTTACAGCTGCTTCTAACAGAAAGACCCATCACATACATACCCAGTGCTTTGTGACAAAGGAAGCAGTGACCAGTGGGTCCTGAGCTTGTGACAAGCTTCAGTGCCCTCAACTCATAGGAGTCAGGGGAAGTAGAATATGTTCAGGATAGGCCCTCAAATAAATGCCTGAGTGTCTCCTTTCCAGGTATGTTAAGGTAAAGTCTCTACAAGGAAAAATGGTAAGTGTAAAGAATTAAACAAATCCTAATAAAGTAAGAAACCTCAATGTGGATAGTCTTCCAATATGACTTGAATTCCTGATTGGAGGACACTTCCCTAGTGAGGAACTGTCATTAGAGAGGTGTGGAGTATGTCTGTGTTGAAAGTAGTAGCTGATAACTTAACACATGTACCTGGATAAAGTGACCATTTTTTTCCAGTTAAATGGCAGTTTTCTATCAGTTTTTCATTTTAAACAGTTTTCAAGGTCTGTAGACTATTTTAGTGAGCTGGAGCTTGACAACCACGCTGTTGGTTAAGATGATTTATTTGGTGTTTCTCAGCATTGATGTTTTTATAAGAGTGATTTTTAAGATTAAAAAATCCTGATGTTAGGACCATGATGTTAGCTTTTAGTACTGGCATCATAGTCTGCCATGTTCACATGGCCCTCCTGTATTAGAGGAGAAGACTTCTAGTCATTCCTGTGGAGCCTTGGTTAGTATAGCAAAAAGTATTGCTGCCTCTTGGCCAGATCTTGCTAGCACTTAAACCAATGGCAGCTGTCCCATTTAATTGTTAGTCTCCATTATTAGGTGGTAAATTAGTCCCCATCTGCTCCAAAGGTAAATATTTTAACTACTTACATGTTCTGGGGTGTCTGTAGTATAGCGGAGTATGTCGTTCTCTCCTGGGCAGGGCATGGGTTGCATCTAGCTCTGTAACTTTCTGTCCTGAGCAAAAGCAGTAAGAAAAAACTTTGTAGTATCAAGACAGTTCAGTAATAATGGGCAAAGACTTCTTCACTTACTGTAAATGTAAAGTGAAATTTATTAAGATATACTGTAAGATACTAATTTCTGACTGAAGAATTTGAAGAACATGGGCATTTTGTTGTATGTTTTCAGATTTATTATGCACTGAAAGTTGTTATTTGATAACCAAATGTAAGAATGGGTTTTTTTTTTTAAATGAATGACTTTGCATGTAGCAAGCTTCCCAAAGATTTTAGTGTGGCTTGACTAGTGAATAATAATAGTTTCTGAAATAATGAGGTTTACATTTGATTTCACCTTCCCCATAACAATGGCCTTAATCTTCTGGAGTGAGGGGAGGAAAAACAACATTTTCCATATTGGCAAAAGTGAAATGGGCTATTTTTAGAGAAGGGAGAGAATAGGAAAAAAATTGAAATCAATGGGAATTCGGAAAAATAAGATGGGATTCTGAAATCAAACTTAAGCAATACTCCTATTAATTATATAGGATAGGCACACTACCCATGCTGGTACTGAATCAGCTTTCCTTTATAGACATTTCCCCTGTCTCATAAAGTAAATAAGTTATTTGCTTGGTATTAATGTCACTTATCTCAGTATTTTGTACCAATTATTATTACTTTGGATCTATTTGTACATTTCAAGCTGACATGCATGCAGCGTCTTTCATAGAAGACAACCTGTGTTAGAAGTTGCGAGTAAAACAACGCCTCTCTACTTTCCCTCCCACAAGTCCCCTTTTGGCTGCAATATGATGTAAACCAAAACTGACATCCTTAGAGCTGTAGAACCTCAGAGAAACAGGACTTCTTGTTCGTTAACTCTGAAGAGTAACATAAAAATGTCAGACTTTTAGTGGTGTTGTCTATGACTCAAGTTCTGTAAGTTACACTATTGTAAATCTGGAGTAATGCCTTTGAATTCATCAGCATTGCTCCCAACTTGCAGTGGTCCATGTAACAACATAGAATTTGTTGGGATACTTTGGTTAACTTATTTGTGTCACAGTGAATGAAGGGGAAAAAGAATAAAATGTGGAAAATGCAATTAGTTTCTGTGCTGTCATGGTTCTGTACAGTGTGAAATTAAGCTGATTAAGTAGGGATCCAGATTTTCCGGCTGCTGTGGAAAAACGTGGGTTTTCTCCTTTAGTAGAGAAAAATGTGGGCTTTCTCTTTCAAAAGAGACAATCACAGATTTTCCCATTTTAAAGGAAAAAAAGGCAAGAAATGATGGGTTCCCCTTTGTAAGCTGGCTGAGTTCCAGCCTGCAAGGGGCTGCAGGGAGCAGATGGAGAGCAATCAGGGCAGGAGGTGCCACATGCATGTGCGCATGTATATGCACATGGCAGCCAGGCAGTGATGGGAAGCAGCTTCTTCAACTCCCTCCAGGTAAGTCTATGGCAGGGAGGAAGGAGCACAGGCCATGTTGGGGGAGGGACACACAAGCCACGTGGGGCTGGGGTGGGGAGCAGTGGGTTAGGAGTGGAGGGTACAGTCGGGGCTGTGGGTCAGGAGCTAGGGGCACTGGCAGGGTCATGGTCCATGGGTTGGGAGTGAGGGGCAATGGCACAGCCAAGGCATTGCATATCAGAGTTGCTCAGTACCACAAAGTGGGGGGAGGGGGGGCACCCACACCTGGATCTGCATCCTGGTGAGCGAAGGGGGCAGGGGGAGCTTTGATTTTCCATGATAAAATCAAATGCCAAATGTATAAGGTCTTTAGAATTAATTTTATAAGAGGGATTGAGGCACTGGTAGACTTCCACATTGCTTAAAAATTGTAAATATCAATAAAACATTGTATTCAACACACACCTACATATATACACTGGCATTTCATTTCAATCACGGAAAAAAAGTGGATTTAAGGGTTTTAAATTGGAGAATTTAATTTATTCATTTTTATCAGCGAATGTGTGAATTTTAAACAGAAAACCAGGATCCCAGCCATAAATAATCCATGCCTCACTGGCACCAAAGGGATGTAGGCCAGTCTACAGCTGAGAATTTACTTTTGAAGTTATAGTATCGTAGCTTACGGATGTTTGGGCCTTTTTTTGGAAAGGCTGGTACTAGTAGACACGAAAGTTGTGTGCCTCCCGAGGCTGGGGGGTGGGGGGCACGGCAACTGCCCGCAGGCAGTGGTGGTGGCGGCAGCGGCGGGGCGCGGGGTCGCCGGTGATGGGCCACCATCTGCAGACCGGCAGCGGCCAGAGGCGATGGGGGGGGGGGGGGGGGGGG